AAAAAAAAAAAATGTACGAGGGAAAAAAAGATGAATAACAATAATAACCATAATGATGACAATAATAGCAACAGTAATCATAATACTAGTAATGGCAGTAAGCAATAGTAGCATTAGTCATAATAAAAAGTCAATGAAACTCTTCTTTTATTCATCCACTTATTATTTGTATTTCCCCTTTATATCCCTCTCTCTCTCTCTCTATTCCTTTCTTTCTTTCTTTCTATATATACATACACACAGGTGAAGGTGCGTATCCATACATATAATCAACCACACATACACAGACATACAGAAAGGAGGAAATTGTATATATATATATATATATATATATAGGAATAGAGAGAAAAATAAAATGAAAGTAGTGAGTATGTATACTCGTGTCAGAATAAAAGAAAGATATAACAGGATATGCGTGCCTTTCCGTGAAAGAAAAAAGAGAAAGAGAAATAGGTAGAAGAACTACCAAATGAGAAACCTTTCTCCTTTACCTAAATGGAATGTGTATTCTCTTTCAATGTCCTCAAATCAAATAATATCGTCTTCTTCTTCTTTTTGTTATTGCTACTTCTACTATTACTATTACTACCAATACTACTCTCCTACTACCCATAGTGACAATAAATGTCTCCCTATCTTTTTTTTTTTCCAAGTTTTCTTCTCCATTTCTCTTTCTTTTCTTCACTTCCTTCTGCAGACAGCTGCAACACTCCCTTTTTCTTTCTCTTTTCCTTTTTTTTTTTCACACAAATAAACAAACACACCACTCTTCCATTTGAGGGGTGTTTCGCTGTTCTCTTCATTAGACCACTACTACTTCCTTCAATTTATTTTCATTTTCTTCTCATTCCATCCAATAATCTGAATTCCCTTTGACGGCTTCAGCAAACAGTTACGTAAAAAAAAAAAAAAAAAAAGATAATAATAACAATAATAATAAAACGCCTTTTTTGGGTTTATTTTTTATTTTTTATTTTCGTTCTTTTTCATCCACTCATATCGCTTCATCATTTTTTTCTTTCTTTTTTTTTTGGTTTCCTTTTTTTTTTTTTTTTTTTT